TTTAATGCATTAAGCGATGATTTTCCAGAAGAAGCTACCGAGGTTCTGGACTACTTTTAGGAAACATGGATTGGGATGATTCGTCGCGGTCGTCGAAGGTCACCGTTGTTTAATTGGGAAATGTGGAACTGTATTAATAATGTTTTAAACAGTCAACCCAAGACTAACAACCACATTGAAGGTTGGCATCTTGCCTTCGAAAGCCAACTTTCGGCTAGCCATCCCACAATATGGAATTTTATTACCGCGATTCAACGCGAACAATCCTTAACTGAAATGAGAATTTCTCAATTTTACTGTGGAACTCCCGCTGTGCCGAAGAAAACGAAGTACTTACAATTAAATATTAGATTACAAAATATTATCACTCAGTTTTCTCCTAAAGACCCTATAGAATACTTAAATCGTATAGCTTGTAATTTGTCTTATAAATAAGTTCCTCGTTTCTTTTGTTATATAGTGTATTATAAATAAGTCATGTATTAAAAAGAATTAATTGGAATAAAATCATTATTTTTATACAAAACGCTTTTTATTTTTAACGTTTTGGTGTCGCACCTGTGTCAGGTTATTAAAAAATTAAATAAAAAAAATAAATTATCTAAATTGACTTTCAGGTGCGACACCGAATGTTTTTTGTTTAAATTACCTACACTTTATCATTCCTGAATAATGTATTTTCGAAAAATGGTCTGTTCGAACAATGGGTTTTTCGAAAAACTGGCCGTTCGAAGAACCATCCGTTCGAATAACTGTCCATTCGAAAAACTGTCCTTCGAAAAACTGTCGTTCGAAAAATTGTCATTCGAAAAACAGTCCTAGATCCAAATTTTCCAACCACAAGCCAATATGTTTTTTGGGCTAGTGACGATGTACGTATTCATAACTCTTAATTGGCTTGTATGAAAAAATCAGGTAAAATCTCAATTTTTCAGTACAAAATTACGACCTTATTTTAACTCTTTTGCCTTTTGCAACATTAAAGCCTTTGGTTTTTCTAAGACAAGTTTTATTAATTAATCATTCAGTGAACACGGCTTACGTGTAAATATGAGCAAAAAACATATTTTATTTATGTTAAGGAAAATCGAATTTTTCATATGTTATACCCAGGAGCCACTCGTTACATCGATGTACTTTTCAACAGTCTTCCAGGTTTGTATACGAAAATGGGGCACCTAAATCAGTCACTAGCTGACGGTCTAAAAGAGAATGTCTCAAATGAGGCATTGTTACATACTACAATAGTCGCAAACCTTCAAAAATTGCGAGTACTGTTTTAGAAGATATGAAGCTCAATACGAAAGACGATATAGTAAAAGTCATCGACAAGAATAAGATTCTACGAGAAGCAAATAAAAATCAACTGCGGCTACAAGAAGCGGAAACTAAAAGAAACGTTTTTATCAAGTCTATATTTTGATGGAAGAAAAGACCGGACTATGTTAAAGGCGAAGGGCCACCGATTTATTAAAACGGAGCACATATATTTGGGGCATTTAGCAATCACACAGTCACGAGCGATAGATATTGTCAAAGCAATTATTAGCATAGAATTAATGCAATTTAAGGTTATTGCATGCGACAGAACGAACTTCAATAAGGATTGGAAAGGTGGAGTCATTCGACATTTGGAAAATCAATTAAGTAGACCGTCTGAATAGAGAATATACTTTTAAAATAAAAATGAGCTACCATTAAGGCATTTATTGCTACAACTAGATGATAGCACTAAAGACCCATGCACTTACTCTACCTTCTTGGTAAAAATGTCCATAGTTCAATTTAAACCAATTCAAACGGATTTGCCACAAGTAAATGAAAATAATCTAAGTACCGATCTACAATACTTATTCCAAATGTATAAAGCAATTGGGGAAGGAATATGTTCAACAAGTTTAACAGAAAAAATCCTGGTAAGATAGCACACTCTCGATGGCTCGAATTTTAAGATTAAATATTACCACACCAGACCCAGATACTTGTTGAATTTGTAGTACGGGTACTCTCGAATGGGGGTTTTAAATAAAAATTTAACCATAGATGCAAAATGGAGCAACACATTTGTGGAAAATTATTATCGTATCCAGAAGACTCCATAGCGACATTAAATTTATTATAGATAAAGTAATTTAGGACAATGCCTATTTTGCACATCCTGAGAATATCTTAAAGTCAATGTTTACCTATACTTGGTAGCACATTAGAGAATTAGCTGTCAGAAGAGTTTTTAAGAACTTGAGGTGCGGCCATCTGCTCGTTGTAAATTCTGGGTTGATTTAATATTCAATTTAATCTCAATAAATATTTAATCACATATTTTCATATGTCTTAATTGTAAATATTGATTTAAGAGAAGAAATGCAAAAAACTATAGAATTTTTAAGTAATATTTTTTTTTATAGAAGCGGGGCTGGACGAAATATTGAAATATTTAATCACATTTTATATATATCTAATTGTTGAATCCTAATCAGTTTAAATTTTTATTTGTCATTTCGATGGGTAATTTATTAAACAATTCATTAAGTCATGTGTAATTTGAGTTGCCTATTAGTAGATTCAAATCAAAGACATTTTGTAATGTCTTTGATTTAAATATATTTATGCGTATTTTTGAGACCGAGTGATTGTAGATTCGTACCATGAAAAGACCTTTGAAAAGGGCAATGCAAAATAAACCGTTTAGAGAGCCGGTAAACTTAAAATTTTTGCTACAGAACGTTCTTATCTGTAAAATTAGAATAAAAACCTGTAGTAAGAAAAAAAGCCTGGCTCATCCCTTGGATACAGGAATTAAGGAGAGCTCTCACGTCACCCCTATATATAGTTTGGGTAAGTGATTTGGTTTAAATCGTTTTTTCTTAACCGTTTTATTCATTTTTATTAATTTTTTAACTATTATTTAATAAAACAATTTTTCTCTGCCTACTGGTTAGGCTATCAACTGTTCCTACTTCCGGGAACGTAAGTAGGGTAGTAAATAGTCATTATACAGAGTGAGTCGGGAGGAGCGCACCAAACTCTAGGAGTATATTATACACATGAAAATAATGTAAAAAAACTCATATGTTCTTATCCGATTTTCATTTGTTTTCAAGTCATAGCATATTAACAAATAAACAAATTTACACATAAAAATTCTCTTAATCATAGCGTTCTTTCAATAAATGTTCAAAAATACCGCCTTTGACTTCTGAACATTTTCTGCTTCGTCTACGAAGAGCGTTTGTTGCTCTCCTAATTGATTCATTTCTTTCTTTAATATGGGCTGCAGTATTCTCAATTCGTCCAATTAGTGCATCCCGTGTGTCCACTTTTATTTTGTAGACTTCATTTTTCATCCAGCCCCATTAACAAAAATCTAATGGTGTGAGGTCTTGAGATCTTGCAGGCCAATTAATAGAACCTTAACTACCAATCCAATGCCCTGGAAAACGTTCGTCCAAATGTTGTTTGACCTGACGAGCGACATGTGCAGGAGCTCCATCGTGCTGATAGTACATCTGCATTCTAATATTTACTGGAACATCCTCTAGCAGGCCTTGTAATTCATTTTGTAAAAAATTGAGGTAGTTGTTTCCTGTGAGACGATTCTCCAAAATGAAAGGGCCAATTAAATAACTGTTAACCATACCACACCACACGTTTACAGAAAATCGATGTTGAAAATTGATTCCGATTGTTGCGTGGGGATTTTCGTCTGACCATACATGATAGTTACGAGTATTATTAATGCCATCATGGGTAAATGTAGCTTCATCCGTAAAGAGTATACACGATACAACACGATGATTATTATTTATCCACCGACAAAACTCCATACGGTTAGCGTAATCCTGTGGTTGTAGATGCTGTACTCTCTGTACGTGATAAGGATATAAGCCTTGCTCGTGGAGTGTGTTTATCACTCTTTTTTGTGAAATTCCCAATTGAATGGTAATTCTCTGTAAGCTAGTAGTTGCATCTTCTTCTACTAGATGCAGAATATTTTCTACTTCTACAAAACCTTGTCGAGTAGAGCGTTCAGATGTTATGAAAGCACTGGGAAGCTTACGAGTCTCGCACAATTTGTACAAAACTCTAATAAATACGTTTTTATAAGGATGTCTTCAGTGTGGAAAACTTTGACAATATTCTTCAGCAGCAGCTGTAGCATTTCCATTACAGAAACCATAAACAAACATCTTATTTATATATTCTAAATTTGAATAAGTATCTGGCATTTTGCAATACTAACAATCACATAAATTCGAAATTAAACGTTCAGTTACTGTTCACTGTACACTGACAGTTCATCAAAACGTCAGAATTATCAAATGCCTTTGAGCCTTGATAATGTTAAAATTCAGAAGTGGAAAGCTAGATGAACATTTTTAATTACGCCGTAACTTGAAAACAAATGAAAATCGGATAAGAACATATGAGTTTATTTACATTATTTTCACGTGTATAATGTACTCCTAGAGTTTGGTGCGCTCTTCCCGACTCACCCTGTATATAAGTTATGATCAGCCGTTTTGGAGTGAAAATAAAAAATAATTTCTAAAATTTTTACTTTATTACCCTGTGGGTTTTTTACAATCCATTTTTGATGAAAACAAGTTAGCTTAAATTTACTTATTTTCTATTATACCAGAAGCTGTGATTAAATTTACTGTACATCTTTGTTTACACTCTGTATAAAAATAACTTTTTAAATCAAAGGCGTTATCAAGAAAGTAAAACCATAAGGGGAGAGGGTATTAACGTCAATAGCAGGGAATTTGAGACGGGGTGGTAAAAAGATCGTGGGTAATAGGAGACAAGAATAATTTTGCATCAATGTTTTTTGTCATTTTAGTAGCTTTTCCCTTCACTTGTTAGTCTACTACTTTTTTTCTTTCTAGGTCAAAACTAGTAGAAATATATTACTTTTCAACAAATTTACGATATTTTTTGATTGTATCTCATTCATCTTGTCACATTTGAGAATGGATTTACTCATTTTTTTTACTTACTCGTACTTTAGCTTGTTTGATTTCCATTTGTACGGTTATAATTTTGTAGAAGTTTGATCTTTGGGTTCTCTTGTGAATCAATTTAATGAAGTCTACAGGATTCATTTCTTCACCTTTATCCGGCCATATTTGACACACCGTCTAAAAAAATATCAAATATTTCACAAGTTAATAGGATGTTTATTACTTTTTTATATTTATTAATGACTGATTAATTTTTGATATGGAAAAATATTTTTTATTCAAAATCATAGGTATTATGTAATAGTCTGAGAACCTGCGATAAGAAAATGAAAAAGTTTAATAAATAAACAAATAAATAAAAATGTCAAAAATTAAAGCATCGTAAAAGAGTGTTACTACGGTTCAAATTTTTATTATATAGAGTTTTAACGTTATTAAATATAAAAAAATAGACCGTACAATAATTAGGTCAGTCTAAGTAGTTCACCAATGTTAAAACTTATTAAGATATTTATTTATAATATATTGTTTATAAAAATGCCAGTTAGACCTCAATCTAATACGATTTGCTTGTTTGTAGCCGAAAAAAGTCAGAAAACGAAGAAATGACGATTAACCAAATTCCGTGTTTTAATAAAATGGCCAACTAAAATTTAAACATTTATAATCATATATTTTTTATAACTTTCTACTGAATTGTGATATATAAAATAAATTTAGTGTATGTTAAATATACTCGTATAAAATATTGGAGAAGTTGATTTATCTCTGTTCACGTACAATCATCGTACTATACCGTTTAAATATGAATGGTATCATATGGGTATTAAGCGCCATATTACTGCAGAAGCTATCGATATCACTTACCATAGTAGTCATCTATGTATGTTCATTGCCAAAATATATTCTTCCGTATAAAATTTATATTGTCAAATTAAATATTTAAATGGGGTATTAGTGAATATTATTAGATATACCATTTTAGTAGAAAAGAATACAACATGAAAACGTTAAGAGAGATACCATTGATATTACACATCCATTAGATATTACAATAATTATAATATTTATTAAAGAAAATAATGAAACGGTACTAACAGCTTAAATTAAGAAAGTAAATAAAATACATGTTACTTTACTTAAAAATTTAAGTTATTAATTTATTTTGTTTATTTGATTTCTAATTCTATAAAGTATCGTAATCCATTGATTCTGCAACTATCACTGGAATTCGTTTTATCGTTGGAACTTAAAGTTATGAATAAAGGTTCAAATACCGTTTTAATCATACCACAGAAGAGCGAACTATGCAGAAACGAATCATAGGGCTAGTTACACCATAGAGATACTCTGAGAAAATGTAACTTCGTTTTCTCAACATAGATAATGAAGTCATAAATAATATTAATTTCTCATAATGATGGCCCGAAAACAATCATCTTCGTCCACCTATTGCGTTATTCTATTTTTGTATTACTGAATTTTAAATTGTTAGTTAATACACTCTTTCTAATATACCAGGCGTGTATTTAAAGTAAGGTCTCCATAGCCGCCGCGTTCTCACACGCACGCTAGGCGAAATCCGGCAATGCTGTCGTGTACGTTGGTCAGAGATAACAGAGATATAACCATTCATTGATAAAATATAATATTCGCGATGCCAAGATTAATTCGACAATCAATACACTCTATTTGTAGGGACGCGGCGAGGAGAGGAAAGGTAAAAAGAAAGAGATGGGATAAAGAGAAGATTTTAAGGCAAATACAACTTTTTTATCAATGAATAAATGTGAAAGCCGCTATGCGCTTATAATAACCAACGTAAATAGACGTGCCGGTGTAAGCCCTGTTGCCACTTCCAACTTGACTAGGTTATGGAATTTATTAAAAATTATAACATCTAATTTAGTGAAATTACATCTAATTTAGTTAAATGTGATATAACCAAAGATTCATTTTTTTTTGGGTTCAGTTGCAATAAAATAGGTTGAATTATTTTAGCTTTTTTAATATATGTAAATTATTTTGTAAACAAAACGAGAATAATGAAATAGGCATATTACAACAGTGTATATTATACCCTCCTGTGTCTCTTAGAATATGTCTTATTCAGGACCGCACGATATTTGTTAGTAGTTACATCTCCTGTTGTCTCTGACGTTGGTCCTCCCTCCACAAATTAGTACTTGGCAGAACTCCGTGGAATGTTCAATGCGACGTAGCGGCCATTCGAGATGGAGGTTGTAGTGGTTGTTCCCGCCAAGGGCGAGTTATGGTCTGTCATTAAATTTTTACACGCAAAAAATCCTCCCATAGAAATTCAAAGTCAGTTGGAAGAAATTTATGGTGAGAAGTGTATGAATGTGAAAAATGTTTGAAAAATTGTCTGCTGACCTCCTAAACGTCCATGATGAGAAGCGAAGAGGCAGACTGTCACGCGCGGACGAAACAGTACATTAAGTTGAGGCGCTTGTGTTGGAAGATCGCAGGTTGACCATTGATAAGCTGGCCGAAAATCTTCAAGAAGTATGAAGCACTTAATTTTGGTGAATAATCTACAATATTGAAATTTCTCAGCCGGATGGGGCCCAATAATACTCACCGCGAAACACAAAGTGATCGCGTCCAATGTCCCTAAGAATATCTCGCCAGTTTTAAAGAAGAAGGGGAAGACTTTCTTGATTCAAAGCATACACTAAAATTCAAACATACCCAGCCAATCAAAATTCATAATGCCTAAGCCGATCGAATGATTCTTCATTTAGTATTATGTCAGTTCGAATTTCGTTGGAGATTTGTGATTTGATGGTAATTAACCTAACCTAACCTTAGATTTTAGATTTCAGATTTCGTTGATTTGGTAATATTCACGATAATCTTAATCTATACATTCTTGGTTGGTATAAGTTTAAGTGCATATTAGAATCAAAAAAAAAATAAATACAACAGTAATTTTAATTAATAATTTTAATATTCACTACACCTGAGTTGGGTTATTTTAATAGTGGTTTTTTTAAAATTCACTAATTAATTTACCTAACTTTTCAGCATTTTTAATTTTGAACATAAACTAAACATTATTTTGCAGTTAACAAGAAAATGTGATTTGTGAATTTTGTGAAATGGGATTTTCAAGTACATCTACCAGATACAGGAAATTTTACCAGCAATCTACTGGACAGGAACAAAATAAACATAATATGTCCAATGTATAGCAATATAGATAATTTTTAATATAATAATTATTTAAAGATATATTGGCTTGATATCTACCATATAAGTATTAAGTAATCTGTTTTGAATTTTAGGAATTTTGAAGAATTTAAATATAATAATAAGGAAATTAATTATGGTTAATAATTTGGAAGAACGCATATTTTACAATTGAAATAGAAGCGATTTCAATGGTTGTACCAACTTTTACATATTAAACGTGTTTTTGTACATTTGTTTTTAGGATTTAGTAGCTCATGTATCTGAAATATGAAATCTGAGGAGAATATTCGCATCCGAGGAATTTCAATTCTTTTAGTGAGTCTCAACAAATGGTAATTAATAGATTTATTACCAAGTGACAGTTCGTTGATTTTTAATTTGCTGGTTATGACAAACTTGTTTTCCCAAATTTTAAAATATAGATTGTGATCTTAAATTATCTGCCATAGAAAATGAAAATTATGCTGTTGAATCCATTATCTAGTTTTAATATTTGTTAATCACTTTATTAAATCAAATAAATTTTTGAGTTTACATCAAAGTATGTGTCTTAAAAAAATATTGTACTTTTTATGACGGGCTCTCCGTCTATAATAACTCAATTCCAAATTTTTTAAAATTCGGAAAGTAGGCTATTATGTCGGTTGGGAAATGACATTCAAATGTACCATTTCCTGTGCATCTTGTTCAAATAATTAGTCACACTCGGTCATGTTCACGATTTATCGACTATTTTTCTATTTTATCAAAAATAATTAACTAAAGTAATAGTATAAAATGGCTGTCGATCTCTAGTTGTCAAAGTATTTTGTTTTAAAAGACAACTTTGTGAAAAGTATTTTAATATACAAAGCAAACTTTGAGAAGCAACATATATACAGGGAATTTCAATGAAAACTACATATGTAGTTATTTATTATACAAAGGAAAGAGAAAAGTGGGAAGAAAAAACCGAGAGCTAAAATCTAATATTTTCCAGTGCATAATACACTATCTTTTCTGTTACGGGAAAAACGACGATTTAATATTGAAAAAATATTCTAAAATATCTACCTTTTACTATGTGTATATATATCCGGAAAAAAAGTACTCACTTTTTTCTCAGGGAAACACTTTTTTCCCCGACTTTTTTCCCGGGAAAAGAGGTAATTAAAAGTGCCTTTTTGTTATCTGACAAGAGAGATAAAATGTCAAACTTTTTTCCCGTCACACAGAAAAATAGCTATTTGTGTATTAAGAGCGAAAAGTGATACTAACTTTTCGCTCAAAATGCACACAATATTTTTTCTACGAACACATTATTTTAAGAGATAGATATAAAAACTGAAAATTTGTCATAATTAGTGTATAATGTGTTGCCTATACGTTATTAATGAAAAAAGAGTTGATATTTAAAGTCAATGTTAACTTGGATAATAAAAGAAAAAACATCAAACTAGGTACAAATAACTTCAAAATCATTTATTAAAAATAATAATAATATGATATCTAATTTAAATTAGATGAGCGACAAAGCTGTCAAGTTTTCCGCTCGTTGATCGACAAAGCTGTCACTTAATGTCAGTTCGCGGAAAACGTCAACTTCGCGGTTGAATTTCGAAGCGCAAAAGCTGACTTTGGATAGTGATCGTAGAAAAAATAATTGTAAAATCAAGGCTTTCATTCAAAAATAAAAAAAAGTCGAAAACGTTTTTTTGTTCATGTATATATACTCGTTGTAACTTTCTCTTTTTGGAACATTATGTATATTTTTGCATTTTTCTATTCTCCTCTAATATAATTCCAAAAATGTATACCTGAGATTTAAAGTAAATTGTTTTGAAGTTACAGAAACGGTTTTTTCTCAACAAATTAATAGAATTGTTATATCAATATTAATTAATTTTTTGTATTTAAATTGACTTCCATTTATTAATATTTAATAATTTTTGCTTTTTTCTTTTTGTTGAATAGCATTTTTTATATTTAATTTTGTTTATAAAAGTTTTGACTTTGACGCAAATATTCAGTTTCAACTCGAAGTTAAAATGTTATTCTGGAAGTTGCTAAAGAACAAACCCAAAACGTTTAAAACATACAGACAACTCTAATTATTATGATTTCTCGATGACTTGGTCTATTTAGTTTGGATTCACGCCAAGACATATTTTTATTGTTAAGCAAGTTACTGATAAATAGAGACTGAAATAAACAAAGAGTTCTGCAAATATATAAACCAAGGAAATTATATTATTAATGATATACCGACGTGTAAACGGAATTGAGGTCGATGTGCCACAAAATAGGGTTAAAGTAAAAATATGACCATTCCGCCTAAAGGAAAAAATCAACATAAAGGTTGGTGTGACTATATTTTTAAACAAAAGACATTCTTTGCCATTTTATAAACTGTATTATAAAGTGCTACTTTGAAGTCATAGTTTACCACTAAGGTCAAAAGGTATCGTATTTTATAAATCACCCTAAATTCGCATGATTTTAGTGAAATCACCCTTGATTCGATATGATTTCGGTGACTTCGCTAAAACCTTCCTTAATTTCAGTGATTTCGGCGAAATCATTATATAATTTCCTATGAATTATTTATACATTTTCTTTTAAATATTTAAATGATTTTTTTTATTTTGGGATGGTTTTTACCATGATTTTCGGTGATGATTTCGGAAATTTCGATTTTATATAAATATACCGTCAATCTTACCTGATCTTCTAAGTTTATCGTATTAAGGGAAATTATAACACTAGATGAACTCTCTAACACAAGTCTCCAGAAGTCTCCCAAAGTATTTGGCATTGGTTGCTGAGTAACTATGTACCTACCAGGGTTGCGAAAATCATCTACGAAAACAGCATTGATATATGACGATTTTTCATCTTCGTGAGGATATCTAGTAATATATACACGGTAATTTTCTGAAAAATAAAAAAAAATTGTAATGATACCTACATATTTATTATTAATTAATGAAAGAAATATATATATTTTAATTTGTTTTTAACTGTTCAAAGTATCAAAAACGTTAGTTATCAAGAGATCTGAGGTCCAAAATGCTGATCAACCTTCATCAGACGTACCTATACATTTTTCTGATTCTACTACAGATTCAGAAAGTGCTAGTCAACGAGTAGATACCTACGCGAAAGATAGTAGTTTTTTTTAAACATCAAAAATGTTCTTTTAACATTGATTTTTGAGTATAACCTTAAAAAATTGATTCCATATTTATTATATTTAATTAATTCCTGCAACTATTTTATAAACTTTGGTTTAATTGTTTGTTTCTTTAGATAAAAAATTGTATATCTAGAGTCTAGAGAATGATAATTTTATAATCTAGGTTTAAACATATATTCGTTTGTTGTTTAACCAAACATTTTTTATTCTATTGCTCACTCAAGGTCACCCTTAGAAGATAGAAGAGCTTTAATTAACGGACCAGCAGAAACAATGGTCCAAAGGCACACCACACGACATGTAGAACACATTTCATCCTTGTTCACAGCAGGCAAAGTAAAATAAAAATAATTTCGGCATTTGTGCTAAGCCTTGGCGAATCCCAAATCTACAGGACTAATATTAACTACGAGTACCTATATCCAGTCTGTCGCAAATTATCTATATTTATTTTAAATTTGACAACCTAGGTATGGTGACATCCTTCAGTGCAGACTTATACATGACAAAAAATAACAATATACCTACCATAAATAATTTAAAACTACCAATACAGGCATATACAAACGTCCTCAGTTAATCCAATGAATATGCTATACATAGTTATCCTGTGACCCAGATTAGTAGGGGAAGGGTGTACATATTGACACACGTTTTATAGAACTATAAAAATGTAATTAAAAAATAGCTCTTTTTTAACAAATCTTGAAAAACACATATAGCAACCCTTTTGCAACATTTCAAAAGATACTTTAACTTAAAAATATAAAATATGGACTTTTAATCAAAGAAATAAAAATAAACAAGAAAAATTCATTTTACCCCACCCGGAGGGAAAAATGACACAATACTGTTTAATATACTTTTAGACGGTACAAAGCTCACAAACAAATATTTTTTTTTTGTCCATCCCGGCACAGTCGGCATGCGCAAACTTTTTACACGAACAACAACATAGCCTCAGCTCACCTTTTTTGGAAAATTTGTACAATTCTGTTTCTGACTCGAATTCTGCAAGAACTTTTCTTGTTACCACTCTTTTTATCTTTTCTGGGATCTTTAGTTTCAACTTGTTTTTTTCTTTGGCCTCTTCCAAGTTTGGAGTAGAGTTTAGAACAGAAGTACCTTGACGTTTCCTTGGCTTTCGTTTTCCCTGGCCTGAAACAAATGGTCCGATCGGAACTGGACTTAAATCAGCTGGTGAAACCAAAATTGAACCACTACTTGTTGAATTTTGCAAGTTTTTCTGAACCACTGTAGGAATAGCGAGGGGAGGTTCTGGTGCGGTAGCGGAAGTTCCAGGTAGCGCATTATTATCAGTTAGAACATTCGGGCCTTGTTGGATACTATTATTTAATATAATATTTGTAGTTTCAGATGCTTGAAATATATAGCCGGAAAAACATCAGGGTTTATTGGGTAGATGCCTGTCTTGGAAAATCCATGACTAGCGTTCAGAACAGTAGCTGCCTTTCCATATGCTTAACAGACCACCAATTTGAAATTGTGTCACAACTCGACCAGGATGAGTTTTGAGCCATTTGCTTATTTCTTGGTTATAATATGTTTTTAGTGGCCCAAAAAACGCAACATCGAGTGGTTGCATCCGATGTGTGCAGTGAGGCGGCAAACACAAGAGTACAATTCCATTTTCTTTGGCATACACAAGAGCATCAAGATATTTATGACTATACGTCTCGTCTTGTTAGTCCAAAAAACCTTGATTCTAGCAATTTTTAATGGTCTACCAACTACCGTTCTACTTCTATGGGAAATGTGGGTTTAAACATGCCGAGTTGTTTTTCGCCTTTTTTTAAATTTTTATTTTTTTCCAAGGAATGCCTCCTAAGGGTTGCTTGAGGGATTTTGTAATTTTTTGATGCCTTGAGCCGTCCCATTTCACCATTTTTAACGGCTTCTATCGCCTTTAACATAAAATCAGCATCCCACGATTGCCTGTTAGACTTTCTTGCGTAATTTCGCGGCATTATCTGTAAAAAAATGGATATTTCTCTCTATTTATTGTCGGGTAAAATGACACGCGACAAAATTATTTATAATTTTAGACGAAATAAAAATAGAAATGTTATTATTTATCGATTCTATAGAAGAATATCTCATTTTAATGTATAGTTAATCTCAATAACTAAAAAATATATTGACAATTAGTTTAACATAATTGTCACCTATTTAAAATTTTAAAAATAATAGCAGTCGGATGACCAAAATATGACAATTGGTGGATTTCATTTTTTTTGTGTTCTGATTACCTAGAATGGATATGAAATATATTCGTTCAATTGAACGCAATAGCATTCTTTTTCGTTTTGTAGTCTCTGCATAGATAAGCTAATATCCATGTGCGTGTAGAAAAAAATATTTTTTTATATTTATTTTGTTTTATAACTTAGAAAAATTCATAAACTATTTTAAAATTAATTATTTTGTCTTTATAACCTAAATTACTTTTTTAAATTTCTCGATTTTCAATAGTGGGCCGTAAAAAAAAACTCGAGTCGATTGTCCATGTCCACTCTTGTTGCACAAACTACTATTTATCTGACAAATAATGTTTTTATATTTTGTAATATAAAAATAAAACATTTTAAATAGCTTATTACACTTTTTAGACGTTTCTACACAACCAGATTTAACACAAATTTTCAGGTTCCACTGTTTAAAAGTACGTGAACTGTTTTGTCTAATGTTGGTTACGGTAATATGGTAAAAATTATACTGTAAAGAACTTGAAAATAAAAAAAATTAAATATTTTTTGTGTGGAGCCCCTAATGGGAATATATTCTATTTCCTGAAATAGTTTTTATACCGATTTTTGATGAATTTTTAACATGTAAAATTTTCACAATTTCGTTCTTTTTTCCATTTTATCAATGTTTTTTCACTTTTCAATATATTCAGGAGTAGATTAATATCATTAGAATATTTTAAAAGCAAATTCGCATTTCCTATTAACCCCGTCTTACATGTAGAAAAATTATACAATGCTAATACATGCCTTAAATATTTCCTTATTAAAAATTAATTGAAATCCCCAATCTCAAATAATTTTTGTAACAAATATATAGAAAATCATCATATCAGTAATTTTTAATAGAGCGGAAATAGTGAAGCTACAAACATTTTTTCTTCTAATAAATAAAATTCACCAGCTATACCCGCTATATCTTATCTGAAATGCCGATGATTTCATTAAAACTCCTCGGTTTATCTTTCTATAAACTTTGTGGGTCTTATAGCCAGTTAAATATCCTAAGTGTCTAGCTAAAGTCTTTTCTTCAAGTGAAGCATTTAATCGAAAATTATCGGGACCCATAGCCTAACCAACAATTTTTTTGCGAGTTAATAATATTTTTTTTTTATTTCATTATTCATTTGAAAGGAAATACCATGTTGTGATATATTTTTGGAAAGGAGATAAATAATTCCATTTAATGAATACAATAGTCTAAGATCCGAAATAAGGTCACCCTTCACCCATCTGTTTACCGGATGAAAGTTTTTTTTTATTAAATAAAATATTTTTTTAAATATACCGCAAATGGGTTGCCTAAGAAAATTCGGTCCAGACTATTTATTTTCTTAAAGTAAAAAAAAAACGACACTCTGTAAAGTATTCCCCAAATGCTTTGACTGTGCCCAAAATTTAATCAGCTCATTGCAGGATAGATTAAAGCTTAAGTTCAAAATTTGGTGTTTTTCTCTTCATCCGTTTTTGAGTTATCTTTAAAATTCGAAATTTGCGCTTTTCATCAAATATCTCAATTAGGTCCATTTTAGGAAAATCATGTATAAAGACAAAATAATAGAGAATGACATCATAAACAACTTTTATAATGATTCCTATACTTTCCTTATCTGTACACAGAGAGGAAAGTAAAAAATGGCCGTGACCGTATTTTCTTAGGCAACCCATTGGCGGTATATTTAAAAACATATTTTATTTAATAAAAAAAAAAAATTCATCCGGTAAACAGATGGGTGAAGGTCGACCTTACTTACGGATTCTGGACTACAAATCCAATATAATGTCCCTAAGGAAAAACAAAGTTATAGTCGTTATCTCGTAAACGGTATAAAATATTCTTTTGTTTTATTATTTATTATGAAATACTTAAGAGTTGTCATAGAATGTCTAAGACCAAAATAACCTATGTTATCAAATAACCGAGATACAGTGGTTAATCAAAAACGCACCATTTTAAGTTTTTGTGAATATTTAAAAAACCAAAAATAATAATTGACAAAATGCAATAGCAGTTCTAAAATGGTAATAGAATCCTGAGAACCGATTGTATATCTCTTATAATAACAAACACAGCAATACATGCAGTGTTAATTTGGGACATACCTAGTGTATACGTATAACGACAGATAAAAGTATATCATGGGCATATGTTTCATGAATATACCTAAAATCTTTCTGTCATATGTTGTGCAAGATATGGCATGCCCATGGAATATAGAAATCTACAATTGCTATATTTAGGCATCATTTTTGTGCTGTCTGGTTATACCACAAACGTCTCTGAATAGAATGAAAATTGTCATTAAATATATTGGTCGTTAGTCACTGTAAGCTCAGAAAAACTTTGTGGCTCACACCTTTTGATATACAGGGCGTTTTTTTAATATTGCAAAAAAATTCAGAGGCGTGTCCCTTGGACGAAATGAAGCAAAAAAGTTCCTATGAACATATGTGTTACGCCTCTTAGATTTTGAACTACAGGGTGGTAAAGTTATAAGAAAGAAACTTATGTAAAAGTTTAAATTGTGTATCGGAAAATGGCTTTGGATGCATAGAAACTGCGTACCAATTTTCAGAAAAATATCTACAGGGGTATTAAATGTATCGTAAAAAATAAGTTTTTTTCTTATAACTTTACCACCCTGTAGTTCAAAATCTAAGAGGCGTAAGACATATGTTCATAGGAACTTTTTTGCTTCATTTCGTCCAAGGGACACCCCTCTGAATTTTTTCGCAATATTAAAAAAACACCCTGCATAGAAATATTTTGTAACAAAGTGTGGGAATATGTAACATGACAACAATAGCTTTTTGTGTATTAAGAGCAGAAAGTAGCACTGCCAAAAAAATTTCTGCTGGAATTACACACAAGATTTTTCTACAATCACACTAAAATGAAATAAATAATTTAATTTTATTAGAAATGGGTTACCTTCTGTCATTATAATATTATAAGTTAATTTGACATTAGCCTACTCTCCGTAGAGAAAAAATGTTTTAGTCCGTATATGTCGGTAATCATTTAGGATTTAATTATTTATAGAAAATACTGTAGGATGATTTCAAATATTATAAAATCAATTAAAATATTTTAGATTAGCCTACAGTTTGTTTTAAAATACCGATTAGCTTTCTTTTATAATTCAAATAAAAATAGACAAGCCTGTGCCAAAGTTACTTTGGCGCACATGTGCGCCAATAATGTCAAATTATAATAAATCGTGGAAAACTTCAACTTTCTAGTTAGGTTTGAATGTGCAAAAGCCTACTTTGGATAGTGATCTTAGAAAAAAGATATTGGTATTGAAAATATTATTAAATAATGTAAATGGAAAAATCGAGGAAAGTTATAAAAGAAGCAATCGAAAGTTAGAAGACAAATGAGTAAAATAGTTAGGTTGTGCCATAGGGTAAGAATACTGTAAAGCAAAGTACCTAAAGAATATAGTATAATAATTGAAAATATTAATATATTTTAAGTCAAGAAGGCAGGTGACCGAAGTAACATTTTTAGATTTATCAAAGTATACAAGGTAGCTATAAAACCCTTTTTTAAAACACTAATACAACTTTTGAATCCGCCTTAGGGCTGCTATAAATCTACTTTAAGAGTAAAAGAGAGAATTCTATAACGGTTCTTAGGAGTATTTTTAAAACAATATTTTAAAACTAATTAGACCTAAGACAAAATCCGTATAATAAGAATTTTATTAAACCATTTTTTTTAATATTATGATAATAAGTGGGATACGCATAAAAACTTTACAAAACTAATCAGTTTTAAGAGAACTAAAGTTTAAATTGTTTTATCTTTATTCTGTTTTATCATACTCTCTGACAAAATGATTTTGCAAACATGTTGGGAAGACTGTCAAGACTGCCATATTAGAAATTAATTATTATATAGTGTATATTTAATTTGTTTCGTTACACTTGTTATTTCTTCAATTTTATAACACACACCAAAGTACTGTTAAAAGTGGGCAAGATGGGTCGTAATAAATGATGGGCCTTACAATGTATGAAATATACGTAAAAAAAAGATTATTATACGGATTCTAATCTATTTACCGAAAGTTATTTAATAGAAAATAACATTGTAAATATCGTATACAGGGTGTTAAAAAAAAAGTGTCACAAAATAAAACGGGGGTTAGTATGGGCCAAAATATGCAGAAAAGTCTTAATAAACATATGTCCGCAAATGAATGGTTTCAGAGATACGGAGTATTTTGTGTTTTGTATCATTTTTTGATTATCTTTTTTCATTCTCAAAAACTTGCTTTTCTTATCGGAGTCTACCAATGTTTTTTCATAGATACTATTTGCAGTTATTATTTTGTTGTGGGTGAATAATTTTATAAATTTTCGTTATGCCTGTTTACACTAATATTGAATTAGTTGACATGCATTTTATGTACGGTCGTGCAAATGGCAATGCGAGGGAAGCACTACGTCAGTATTTGAACATCTCATTTAACTCTATGTTGTTATTGATTGTTTATAAATATTATTGTTTTTTTATAATAATAAAAAATTGTTATAAACACAAAATGATCCGTATCTCTGAAACCGTTAATTTGCGGTCATATATTTATTAAGACTTTTCTGCTTATTTTGGGTCATACTATTCACCATTTCATTTTGTGACACTTTTTTTTAACACCCTGTATATAGCACTATAAAATATCTTCGATATGTTTTTCATAAAAAATATAACATTTTGTATTTTCAAATTATTTCATGGAAGTAACTATTTAACCGCCAATATAAATCCTATTGTAGATTTGTCTTTGCATGGATACTTGTCATCTTCAGAAAACCATTTTCAATTGTGCATACTACCTACTGGACTATCAGAAACAAACTGTGTTTAATTATAAATTACTTTAGGCGAGGAAAGAGTTGTATAACAGTATATCTTAGTATTTTCCAATATAAATTACATTTATATACCCTAAAAGGAATTAGCTGTAGATATATTTGACAAACTTGACATTATGTAGTTAAACGCAGTAAACGCAATCATAAATAATAAATCTATTGTCATTGACATACTATCACTGTCTTTGGTACCTAAAATACGTCATTACTAACATTGAAATATTTTAGAATTATTCGAACTTTGACAATAATTTATTTGAATATCCTTTAGGTACAGGTCTAGTAAACAGGTACTATTTTACATATGTGGTTAAACAGCCACGGTCATATTTAAAATGGAGTATTTTCTCATTGTGTTCTATCTGTACCTAAAAAAGGACATTAGCTTATAAAACTAGTTTGTATGCTACACTTTTTAAAGCATTTCATAAAACAATAGTAAAAACGAAAACCTCAATAAAACTTTCATAAGTTTAATTAGACGGGCATAACCGAACCTCATTCTTGAGCTTCTTATTACTCCACGAACAAGTCATTCAAAATATAAAAATTATTAATAATATAAAAAATATTAATCACCGATCATTTCCATAATATTAGGAGCCTAGGAATGTTTTGACATTTGTTAAACAATGAAACACAATGAACTTATTAAACACTGAGAAGGAGAAACATATACATTTTCTTTTTATATTCTCTATGGAAATTACCACTTTTCTTTATTTTGAACAATTTATCTTTAAACGTCAACATAATGTGACGTTCAAAAACTAGGTTATGCTCTAAAACAAACTTTAGTTCTTATATTAAAACTATGTAGTTTTAAAAGAGTCCTATTGTTTACTAGATTAAATAAATTATAAGAGTTATGCTGTAAAATTGTAGAAAATGTATCTAAAAGGTCCTGGGATTAATTTAATTTAAAGTATAATCCTAAAACAGTTTTTAAAAGTAAGTTTTAAAACCTCCTTAAGATAACTACTTAAAAGTATGTCTCTTTAACACCAAACACACCTTAGGAGTATCTTCAAACTAAATAGTTCTAAAATTACTTATTAATTAACCCTTACAGGACAGCGATAAAGCATAGTTTACTTTAGGATAAACTAGTTTTCTTAAACAGATTTAAAGGAATCTATAAAACCAAGTAATAAGATTAATTTATCCTGCAGTCCTATTAGCAAAAAAAAAATAACTGTAATAAAATAATTATCAATTTTTATGCTTTTACAAAACCCTAATAAAACATAAATAAATTTTTATTCTCTTAAAAATGTTACTTGGATAATAACTAACCTAACATTATTTTAAAAAGTAAGTGAGCGGAGTATAATAGAACAACAAGCTATGAGACTACCAGGACTGCAAAGCTAACATTATTGCATAATACCATTAAATCTCACCTGGGACTATATCCTTGAATCTATTCTTTTCATTGTAGATCGGAGCTACTTCATCACTTTCTAACATTGTTTCCATGGCCGTATCTTGCCATTGAGTATCCAGTATATACTTCATTTGAGTGCTAATGCCGTTGCTATTGAGCGTTGCCGTAACAATGCTGTGCATTTCATCTGTGCAAGGTATTGAAGTTCGCATGCCGAAAAGGCACTCAAGAACAACCAGATGGGCTAATTTATACTGTTCGATATTGTCAACAAGATTAGCTCTTTGATTCCGAAGATTTTCGAGATGAGCTAGAAAATCTAAGTATCCTTCACCTGCGGCCATACGTAAGCAAATATCGCTTAAAATTATTGTTCCAGTTCTTCCTACTCCTGCACTAAAATTATTAAAAAAAAATATATTTTATTTAATGATAATTAAACTGTTAAAATCATATTAATTTACATTGAATCCCTCCCATTCAATTTATTTCTAATCCAATTTTTAAGAAGACAATTATGTCTAATAACAGCTTGCCAAATCAGTCCGTGTGTATTATACCTATAGCACATCGCTCTATCTTACTTTCTATTAATTCAATGCAGATAAACACTTCCTTATACATTCCTCTACATTTCTTAACCAGTCAGAGGTAAGTAAGTAGGCAAAAATAAAATGATTTCTCTTCTAACCACCCACAGTATGTTATCTCGCAACCACTTAAGACTTATCTATAATTAACTACCATCCATAAAACAAAAGTTAATTATCTTATTTCTTAATGTAATTTATAATGCAGTTTATTCAACAAGAGTGGATATGATAGCCATATCGCACAGACGAAGTTCGAGCACTGCAAAAAGAACACTGCCAAATAAATGATCTCAAAATGGACAAACATACTCGTGAAATGAAAAGACAACCCAGGGCTAACTCATTCAAAGGCGTTTAGACCTAAACCTTCCATAAACGACTCGCTCAGATCCGCGAATAGAGTAGAAACGATCTAAGCATTCTGACCGATGGCAGGACATTGTCTTATAAGTAACCCCAGCAAACATTTTCGATATTATTAGCTATAACTCGACTTGGTAAAAGTCAAATCTACTTATTGAGGTAATTATTACGTAAAATTGACTAGAAAAATATACCTATACTTTAAATTTACCAAATGGTTCTAATTTAGGTATAAATTTACGTAAAGTTTACTAAGAAATCTACCTCGTACACATATCTGCTTAAAAGTAACTTTAATCAAATCAGAAAGGGAAAAACTACTAACAAATATAACCAAAAATTACCTCATAGCTAAATTTCCTTTAAAGTAAAATTAGGTGTCATAATTAGGTAGCATCAACCTGTTTGACAACTAAAAATCGTCTTTATTTATAGTAGAATATCCTACTAGGTAGATTTGGTTGAACATTTTTCGTAACTTTATACCTGTAAAGTAACCTATTTGAATGCTTTATTTACTCTACTTTAAAGTAATATTAGGTCGATATTGTAGAAAAATTATACCTTTTTTTTCTACTTAATTTTAACCAAATAGTCGATTACTCATTTAGTTGACCTAAAAGTCATCCTGAAGAAATAAATATTTACTTTATTGTAGCAATTACCTGAAATATCTACTACAAAGTAATTTCGACTATAAACCACCAATTTAAAACCTGCCATACATAACCTATTTGTAAAATTTATATTATTTAGGTAATTTTAACAATTAGGTTGTTCACTTATTGTCTTTGTCACTATTCTTAAGAATTTCGGCCATTTTAAAAAACCGTTGCAATGGTAAGCTTAATTCTCTTGCCGTATAGATAGAGCTATAAATAAATGCAAAAAATAAATAATAGGTACTTTCGATTTTTTTCGTAAAGTCAAACGTTTTAAATCTCAAGTGCAGTATAACGTGAAAAATAAACAAATTACTCCAGTATCCAGTAAATTGATTTGTCAACACACGTTAAATAAAAATTTACACTTATCATGGCTGAAATTTACTAATAGATAGCATTTCCAAAAATAGGGTGACCTAAATATGTTATATTTACCTACAGGTAAAATAGGTAAAATTAACTAACATGTTGTTATCTTTAAGGTAATTCAACTTAGTCAAAAGCTATTTGTAAAATACGTAGTTTTTCATAGTCGTATTAACTTTTAAGTCGTATTAGCACAATACGCCATATTTTCTTAACATAATTGAAATACGATTCCAAATTTCAAATTTTTTAAATTAACTAGAAAAGAACGGATAAAAATTACAAAAAAAAAAACATAATTGATTTTCTAAAGTGATACACAACAAATGTAACATAGTTTTAGCTCACAATATTATTATAATTTTTTTAAATCATAATATTTCTTCTTATATTTTTTCTTATTAAAGAGTATTTTGGAAGGGCATTGTTATTTTTCAAAGTAGAACTGTTAACATTCACGACAAAATTTCCTTCGCATTAATTTTAACAAATGTAACCTATTGATTCGTCGTAATTAAATAATATATATATATATATATATATATATATATATATATATATATATATATATATATATATATATATATATATATATTTTTGTTACCGAAATTTACTTATCTTCAATCTTTGCTGTGAGTTAAGTATATGTTTTAGTTGTGTTGGTCACTTCCTACAATATTTCGACTTCTATAGATAAAAATACCAAATAAGTATAAAATTTATCTTTTTGTGCACTTGAAGTCGTTCGTCATCTGAAAATCTTTGTAGTTTCTACCTAAAGCTGGTTAAAACAACGTCGAATTGACGTTATATTGACGTCAAATTTCCCTAAACAAGTATTACTAACCAAACGTAGAAGGCTACTACAATAAGGATTTAGGCGTAATTTTACCTATTTTGGTCAATAAAACCAAATTTCGACGTCGTCTTATTCTCCACTTATGTCGAATCCACGTCGAGATAACGTAAATTTTCCTTAAATATGGTAAAATCTAATTTTGCGACCAAATTTATTAAACATATTTTAGGTAGTCTCGATGTCAAATTAAACCAAAATGTTTGCTGGGACCACAATAACCACATAAGAATGATAGGCCTGCAACAAACGCGCCAGTCTGTCGATATTATGCAGCGTGGTCGACGAAACCGGAAATCACAGTCTATGTACCTGTTTCGCTTTGGAAAGAACTAGGTTCCAGATCTTCCGATTCACCCGACTGGAGCCCACCCACTTGAAACAAGTCTCATCCAACTCAATCATGAAATTAATAAAAAGTGTAACTTTTACTACGAGTATAAAGTAGACATGAGTTACGATAGATCCATCTGGGTCGCAGTAGAAGAGGATGAGATGATCCTACTTATTTTCTATCTGTATTCGCGATTCAAATTAATTTTCGCGCGCCTGTGATTTGTCACGTATAAGTAGGATGTTTGTTTATTTACGTGTTGTGGGATTTTGTATTTGTGATTTTTTAACTGTTTTTAGATAATATTCTTATTATAATAGTGTTTTTGAGTTTCATTTAGTGTTAATTTAAGTTTAGTTTTCGTGCTTTCGTTATAAATGTAATATTTTTCATGTGTAGTATGAACTAATTTGTTGGAAATATTGACCTATTGGTTGCTACAAGAACATCTAGAAATATGTATTTACTAAACCCAGGACATGTTTTATTATGTGGTTTAAAGGACATATCAGGTACCAAACGTTTATTATTGATGAACTTCTTTAAAAATCTTACTATCCTTATTCTAATATCATGAAGTGAATTGTGTAGTACTTTGTATACATGTAAATGGTAATAAAACCGTCACAACTCATATTGGAGTTTGATTCTAAACAACGTTTTGCAAAATTTCAATATAGTGAATTTGTAGATACCCATTTATCGTAAGAAACAAAATTTTATGACTTGCACTTGAAAATGAATACTTCAGTTTTGATTTTGACAATAACACCATATAGATTGCAATTTGCTGGAGGCTTTTTCGCAGATTTCATTTTTAATTTAAATACTATCACATACTATAAGAAATAAACAAATTTAAAGCTAAAAAGTAACAAAAAACTCTAATTGTAATTGATACAAATTAAAATGTTAACAATGAACACGAACGCCGATATTGCCAAATGATCAACTGATTTTGTCTCTGACTGATTTTAAAACTAAAATTAATAAATGAACTGAAATTTAAAAAAAAAATCAATATAATAAATCGATTTTATAAAAAAATCCTTAAATAAAAGTATGATTACATATTACTAGACACAAATTTTGATTCTTAAATAAAAGGTCTTATCCATTTCTTCAAGAACTAAAATCCGACGACGTAACGAAATTTTGCTGCATCTGGCAACACTGAACGTCATCCTACTTATAAGGACCTTCTACTAATTTCCTCCAGAGGGCGTATCACTTAGCTTGAATCGTGAATAATTAAAACTAGCTGTTGCCCGCGGCTTTGCATGCGTAGAGTCGTGTTTTTCATATTAAAAAATGCATGACTTCCCAAAAATGGAAGGGATATAATTTTTATTTTATTTATTTCTTTTTATTAATTATTTTTATTTATTTTATTTCGTCACTGTTCTCCGCCCTTAAAATTTTTAAATCGAAAACACACATTCCCAATTTTCAAGTTCCTACCTTTAACAAATCGATACTCCCATACCTACAAACTTTTACCTCCCCTTACCGCGTTTCCATCCTTTTAATTGTAAAAATCTAAAAACTCTGAAATACATCCTTTTTTTTATATGAGTAGCTACAATTCTAATTTTCAAGTTTCTATCTTTAAAAAATTCGATACCTGCTACAAACGTTCATTCCCATTTCCCCCTCTTAAAATGTAAAAATCCAAAACCATGTATTACGTCATTATTTATTAATGATGAGTAGCTACGATTCAGAATTTTAAGTTCCTACCTTTAAAAAATTTGATACGCCTACACACTTTTACCCCCGATTCCCCCCCCCCCCCCTCCTTAAAATGTAAATAACCAAAAACCCTGAAATACGTCATTATTTATTAATGACGAGTAGATACAATTTCAATTATCAAGTTTTCTACCTTTAAAAAATTCGATGCTCCCATCAAACTTTCTCCCCCCGTCTCCCATCCTTAAAATGTGATGTTTATAAAATCTGTTCTTGGTGGATGTCTACGTCGAAAAAGAAGTAATTATGCCAAATTTCAAGTCAATCGGGCTTATAGTTTTGGAGATATGTTGATAAGTCAGTGAGTGGTATTTCGCTTTTATACAGGGTGTTTCAAAAAGGTATGTCACAAATTCATTCCCAAATAGATTATCAAAAAATAAGTGGATTTTGCTTTATTGATCTATATCAAAAACTGGCTTGCAACAAAGTTACAGGGTGGTAAACTAACATTCAGAAAAACGTTT